AGTACCATCTTTGACAATCAATCTAATCTTCTTTGCCACGGCATGGTATTCAGCACCTGACAAGCAAGGGGAAGATCTTCTCTTCAGCGCACCTTCCGAAATCATGGGAGACTTTCGAGTTCCATCAGCACCGACATAAGGCTCCATGGCAGCCTCAATCTGCCTCGTCACCTTCGACACAGTAGAATTTCCAGAACCCTGTAGCACAATTACAGAAGAGAAACAATAAAGAATCAGCCATCTAGACTTCTAAGCATTCATGATCAATGAAGGAAAACAGAGAAATCCCAAGATTAATAAATCCCAATAAAATAGTAAAATTCAAAAGAAATTCATGCTAAATACAAAAGTAGAATCGACTGCGGAATGATATTTACCTTTCCAATCAGGAACCATCTACCGTCTTTCCAACTCTGACGAAACCTCAGATGAGATTTGGGGACTCTGAATTCGGTGTTGGATCCGACAAGCCTAACAGAAAATCCGTTCCCACCTAAAACCTCCACGACCACGGCAGTCTTCCAAGCAGGATTGACGAACACCTCAACAAGATCGCCAGGGACCCAATCTGCAGCTCCTTCAAGAGGCCGTGGACAGGGCCTAATAGCCTTGCGAGGCATCCTCTCCATCGCCGGAGACCAACCGTACTTCACGCTGTAAGTGTGGCCGTTCCCGGAGACGATCTCGACACAAAACCAAGAAGCCATCGCGGCTCCCGCGGTGCTCAGCATCGTCGGTGAGAAGAGAGAGTGCAGAGCAAATTCATTTCAAAATTGAAATTCAGGGGTTTTACGGCGAAATTGAAATACACGGCTTTTGGTAATCGGAATTACTTGGTTAAAATACATGTGTATTTCACTCAAATTAAATTACTTTTTGTTTTTTGTTTAAGTAAAAATAAATAGTAGAATTGAATTTTAACCTTCCAAATTCAAATACATTGTTTCAAATTCGTGTTACGAAAACAGACCATTAATAATTTTCACAATCAGACCGCACAACTAATGTGCAATTCGCTCTCAAAAATACTCTTTTTTGAAGAACAAATATTTGGATAACAAAAATGGGAGGAGAGCGAAGAGGACGGCTTCCTTTTAAGCTAATATCTAGGATCAAACATTTGTGTTGGATTCTTCTTCCTTCATATTCTTTGTAATGGTTGCAGAATTTTGAGTTATTGTTAATATTTTTGAATTGGGTATTTGTTAGATTTGAGGGAGATTGCGTCTCTGATGGACCCTGGTGCATATGCATCCGAAATTAGGCGAATTGTGCGAGCCGTGGGGCTTACCATGGCGATCCGGCGCAAACTGAAGGCACCCGTGCTCTCTGCTTTCCTCAATTTCGCTCTTGCTCCGGGATCTGCGGCGCATAGTAGGTTGTCTTCTTATCTTCCAAAGGTAAAGCTTCAGGCTTTCTGTATTGAGCGATTCGTGTTGAGAAAAGTGATTATTTTGAAAGCGTAAGGTTGTAGCAGTTGTTATGTTGCGTGTTCATCAATTTGGAAACTTGTGTGGATTGCATTCTCAAACATTTCATTGCTCAACATTGGTGATAGGAAGATGAGCATGATATGGAAGTTGATACTGCTACCTCTTCGCTTCAAGCTCCTGCAAAACATCCATTACCGGAGCTGGAAATCTACTGCTACTTGCTTGTCTTGATATTTCTGATTGATCAAAAGAAGTACAACGACGTGAGTGAACGAATTGCTTCATCAAGGATCTTTTTTCTTTTTTTCTTTTTACATAAGTAACATAACAATCGTTGTTTTAGGCAAAAGCTTGCTCCTCTGCAAGCATTGCCCGGCTGAAGAACGTGAATAGGAGGACTCTTGATGTTCTAGCTGCTAGGCTTTACTTCTACTACTCTCTCAGCTATGAACTTACTGGTGATCTTGCTGAAATTAGAGGGTAATTTGTCTTTCACTATTTTTATTTTTTAAGAAATCCTAGTGTCCCGTGGATTGTGTACTTATTTGGAAGTGAAGCACTGTGTTAGATTCTAGCTAGTCTGACAAAAATGCTGATTACTGACAGTGACCTTCTCGCCCTGCACCGCATTGCAACATTGCGTTATGATGAGCTGGGACAGGTAAAAGTTTCAACTATTTAAGCAGCTTAGTCTATGTTGCTAGGGTTTTGTCCATATTTGAATGTTTTTCTGATGCAGGAAACACTTCTCAACCTGCTGCTTCGCAATTACCTCCATTACAATTTGTATGATCAAGCGGAGAAACTGAGGTCAAAGGCACCTAGATTCGAAGCACACTCAAACCAGCAGGCAACTCTCTATTATCCATATCTTTTTGTTTTTAGTATTATATCTCATATGAAATTATTTCTCACATTGTTTGAATCAGACTTGTGGAATTTTCCACTGTCCAAAAATGCA